ACGGGTGGGTGGGAGGGATGTTTGCAACCCATTTGCAAAAACCATATATCCATCATCGATTGCACCACTCATGCCGCCAGAAACACACAGGGTGGGCCCCACCCTGGCTGACAATGTGCGAGCCATCACGCGCGCGTCGCGCGCGCGCTCAACTTCTACCTGCCTTGGAGCCCAGCGTGGAACGGGGAGTAGGGTCCATGCCCACGCGAAGGGGGGGCGGTGGGTTTGGAAGCAAACCCGTTCGTCGCCGAACGCGCGAATGGGTGCCAGGGTCAGGGCGAGGGGTGCGCCACTAAAACACACAGGCATACATGTGAGTATGCTTGCCTCCCCATCTGCTGCTGACCCCACTCCCCATCGCCCTCCAACGGGCGAGGGGAGGGAAGGAACAGGGGGAAGGGCGTGGGGAGACTGAGAAAGGGTGGGCGATGAGGGAGGAGGAGGAGGAGGAGGAGGAGGAGGAGGAGGAGGGAGCAACGGAGGAGGGATGACTGGCGAGGGCGGAAGAAGAACAAGAGGAACGGGAGAGGCGGGAGGAGCAGGACGAGGAGGAGAAGCAAGGATGATGATGAGCAGGCAGATGAGGAGGAAGAAATGTAGGAACAAGGATGACAAGGCCAACGCAGACGGAACCATATTACGTCTGCAACCTGTGCGAACGGGAGCGGCACGTATCACCAGCACGACTGGAACTAGCGACAAGTCGGTGAGAGGTACGAGCACGAGCAGCAACACGAGAATGCTACCAACACGAGCGGGACTAGCAATACGTTGGTGAGCAATACGACTGCGAGCAGCAGGACGAGTGCTGCCAGCACACCGTGGGTAACGGCGCCGTTGCTGGCCACCGCGGTAATTCCAGTGGCCCCTTCCTGGTCGCCTGGTTGGGGGGTGGGCGGGGCCCCTTTCCAACCCCCTCGGACCTGTCTGGTGCATGCCAAGAGCAGGTCTGGAGTCAGGCGCGGGAGCGGATGGGCAAGGGAGGGGAACGACTCCCATGTGGTATTCAAATCCCCACCGCCCTTGACGTGGCACGTGCTGCGGCGTCAGGGGGGGGGGGGGGGGGGGGGGGGCGACCCGCACGTCCGCCTCCCTAGCGTGCAGAGGTGCGACGTCCCTGGGGGGCGCCATGCGCCTTTCCAGGCCTCACAGGGCTCAGGGACCAGAAGCCTGCCCGACACCAGAGGGCAGGCACCACACGCCATCCCGAACCAAGTGGCATGTCGCATCGCACGCCACAACTCGTGTGTGAGCTTAGTGAGTTTTGTACTCCAGAGTTTCCTCATCCTCCTCACCATCCTATGTCAGTTCGAATCAACTCCATGTGTTCTTGGACTGCGTCGATTGTGACGATTTCGGGGCCACGTTCTTGAGGGCTCAAATCCGTCGGGACGATCTTGGTGGTCGTCGGCATCTTTGAGGGTCATTACTTAGCTTGGGACTCCGTCCTCTGAGTCCTCGGCCTGATCGTCGGGAATCCCCGCCGTTGTTTTGTTCCAACTTCTCTTCTCTCCTCCCTCGTCCGCTCAGCCCATGCATCGAACTCCCAGGATGTTTGCCGTGTGGCAGCGAGCCGTCTTCCTCCTCTGAAGGGGCCCTAGGACACACAAACAAATAGACACAAATAGCAGGATTCCCCACATGTTCGCATATCTTCTGGGTGCTTGCCTTCCCCCCCACTTACCCTATGTTCCTATATTTTCTGGGGGCTAGAACCACGCGCGCGCTTCGCGCGCGCTTAGGTTCTAGCTAGGATCGTCACCGTCGTCATCATGAACATCACCATCGCCATCACTCCCCCCGCCAGGGCTAATGTACATCGTTTCTGGATGCTTCTGGCCGGAATACGAAAGGAGTTTCTGTAGTTAGAGTCTCTGGGGGAAGTCGCGGGGAAGCTTTTGTTGTATTTGGTGTTGCGTCGCCAGGAGGTCTGGGCTCCCTCCTCCTCGTGTTCCTACCTCCTCTCTGGACGTCCGATGTCGTGATGCTTTTTGTGCGCGGCCCCTGGACCTCTCGACGACATCCTGGGGATGTGTCTTTTTTTCATCCTGAGTCGTTTTCTGACGGTCCCGGGACCCTGCGAGGGGCCCCGGAGGCCGAAAATTGACCGAAACCGCCGTCGTGATTTTTCCAAGACGTCGGAGGTCCAGGTCGTGCTTCCCGCCTCCCCAGACCTCCGACGTCGTAATTCTTGCAACCTCGGGCCCAGGAGTCGATTGGTAAAACGCACATGGGAAGGCAAGAAATGATGGACCCATCATTTCGTACCTGTGCCTTGATCAGTGGGACGGGCTTCGCACCGCCGCACATCACAAGACACGCTCGAGCGAATCCAGCCGTGGCGACGTCGGGGACTGCAGAAGGTCGCAAGGACACGGAATATGAAAGGAAGAAAGAGAAAGAGAGAGAAAGAGAGGGAGAGAGAGAGAGAGAGAGACAGACAGACAGAGAGCGAAGGAGATAGAGAGAGAGAGAGAGAAAAACAAAAAAAAAGCTGCCGAGGAACCCCACATACTTATATTATGGCTGGAGTGATGATAGCTGAAGTGAAGCATGTAAGAATGATGTTGGTGGCCGTTGCCACCCCCTGCGCACCCCCTATTTTGTCGAGAAACTGCCACGCCTGCTACGGCCTGGACGACCGGCGCGGATAGGGGGACCACCCCGTGCGCACCCACTATGGCGTCGAGAAACAGCCACGCCTGCTACGGCCTGGACGACCGGCGCGGAAAGGGGGACCACCCCCTGCGCACCCCCTATGGTGTCGAGAAAGTGCCACGCCTGCCACGCCTGCTACGGCCTGGACGACCGGCGCGGATAGGGGGACCACCCCGTGCGCACCCCCTATGGTGTCGAGAAACTGCCACGCCTGCTACGGCCTGGACGACCGGCGCGGATAGGGGGACCACCCCGTGCGCACCCCCTATGGTGTCGAGAAACTGCCACGCCTGCTACGGCCTGGACGACCGGCGCGGATAGGGGGACCACCCCGTGCGCACCCACTACGGCGTCGAGAAACTGCCACGCCTGCTACGGCCTGGACGACCGGCGCGGATAGGGGGACCACCCCCTGCGCACCCCCTACGGCGTCGAGAAACTGCCACGCCTGCTACGGCCTGGACGACCGGCGCGGATAGGGGGACCACCCCGTGCGCACCCCCTATGGTGTCGAGAAAGTGCCACGCCTGCTACGGCCTGGACGACCGGCGCGGATAGGGGGACCACCCCGTGCGCACCCACTATGGCGTCGAGAAACTGCCACGCCTGCTACGGCCTGGACGACCGGCGCGGATAGGGGGACCACCCCGTGCGCACCCCCTATGGTGTCGAGAAAGTGCCACGCCTGCTACGGCCTGGACGACCGGCGCGGATAGGGGGACCACCCCCTGCGCACCCCCTATGGTGTCGAGAAAGTGCCACGCCTGCTACGGCCTGGACGACCGGCGCGGATAGGGGGACCACCCCCTGCGCACCCCCTATGGTGTCGAGAAACTGCCACGCCTGCTGCGGCCTGGACGACCGGCGCGGATAGGGGGACCACCCCGTGCGCACCCACTATGGCGTCGAGAAACTGCCACGCCTGCTACGGCCTGGACGACCGGCGCGGATAGGGGGACCACCCCCTGCGCACCCCCTATGGTATCGAGAAAGTGCCACGCCTGCTACGGCCTGGACGACCGAGCTGAGCTGTGCTGTGCTGAGCTGAGCTGAGCTGTGCTGAGCTGTGCTGAGCAGTGCTGTGCTGTGCTGTGCTGTACTGTGCTGTGCTGTGCTGTGCTGAGCTGTGCTGTGCTGTGCTGAGCTGAGCTGAGCTGAGCTGTGCTGAGCTATGCTGAGCAGTGCTGTGCTGTGCTGTGCTGTGCTGAGCTGAGCTGAGCTGTGCTGAGCTGAGCTGAGCTGAGCTGTGCTGTGCTGCGCTGTGTAAGAAGGAGAGAGAGGGGAGGAGGAGACGCGGGTGCGCCGTGGCAGAGAAGAAAACCAGAACCCCACGAAACATGTGGGGAAAAAGAGAGATGGAGAGAGAGAGAGAGAGAAGACAGAGAGAGAGAGAGAGAGATAGAGAGGCAGAGAGAGGAAATGGAGAGGAGGCGAGCTTGAGTCAACGAAAGTCGCAGGGAAGGGGGCAGGGGAAAGAAGGCCAGAGAGCGCTGAAGGATACAAATACTGGAACCCTCTTGGGATTTTTTGGGGGGCCTCGTCCGGCCGCTCGCTGGGAGTTTGACGTAGCTTCTTGGGAGCCTCTGAACCTGTCGGGGGCCTCCTGGAAGCAGGTTCGAAGCATTTTGGGGGCCGATTTGGGGCTTCTCGGGGCCTCCTTTGGGCCTCTTGGGGGTCTCCTGGGGCCTCTTGAGGGGCCTCCTTGGGGCCTCCTGGCGGCCTCTTGGGGCGGAAGGCTCGAGCTTGCGGTTCGTGGTCCCCCTCTGGGCCCCCTCTTGGGCCCGTCTTGGGGCCCTCTTGGGCCATCTTGGGCGCCTCTTGGGCCGTCTTGGGGCCCTCTTGGGCTGTCCTGGGGCCCTCTTGGAAGCTTCTTGGGCCGTCTTGGGGCGGTCTTGGGCGCCTCTTGGGCCGTCCTGTAACGTCGGAAAGCCCAAAAGGCAACTTTGTTGAAAATGTACGTTTTACGAAGGGAATGGGCAAATGTTTGCGTCTAGGGGCCCTCTTGGGACGCATGTTGGAGGCTTCTTGGGGCCTCTTGGGGGCGTCCTTGGACGTCTGGAGGCCATCTTCAGCATCTCGGAGCCCTCTTGGAGGCCTCTTGGAAGTTTCTTGGGCCGTCTTGGGCGCTTCTGGGGCCCTCTTGTCTGACCGGGGAGGCCTCCGGCAAGCCCCGACGAGCCTCCGGGCCCCCCGGAGCCCACATTTGCGGTCGAGGTCCCGGCCCCGGGCCCCCGGACCCGGTCCCCCGTTATATGTATAATCGACGATGAATGGTGTCTGTGTGTGTTTGTTCCCCTCCTGATCCTCTCCCCCCCCCCGCCTCGGAGGGGGCGGCACGGCGCCTGATCGGCCCGTGCAGCCTGCGCGGCCCAGCCTTCGAGACGCACCTGCGCGGGGCTGGAAGATCCGCGCACTCGCTGTACTAATACGGGAGGGGGGCATCGAATACAGCCGGACTTGACTGGACAGGACACGCGAGAGGACACAAGACCCTTCCGAGGGCCACACTGCCATAGGAATGTGGGAGGCACTGGCCGCGGGACGCAGGACGCAAGGGGGGGGGGGACCCTGAGGGGGGGGGTGGAGTTCGATCCGCTGGTGCATCGAATTTCCGAAAAACGATGCCCCCCGCGCGCCCCGATTGTCGACGCCTCTCGGGTTCCAGCGGCGGCCGGAGACCTCGCTCTGCATCGTTTTTCTGCAATTCGATGCGCCAACGGACCGAACTCCCCCCCCCCCCGGTGGCACCTCCCCCCTTTACGAGGTCCCGATAGATAAGGAGCCACTGGATGCTGAATTCTGAGCCTGGAAGCCGGTGAAACACCAACGGAGGCTTCGCCGAGGATCTCACCGCCGTCCTCATCAGGTAAAGAATCAGCAAGGGTCGCCAGGGCACATTCCTGACCGAACGGCCCAACCGTAGCAGCATATATCCTCCGCTGGGTCAAAGTGGCTTCGAGTAAACTTTGGACGAGCCCGCTGTGTACCAGACCAGTTGCGTACACGCTGCCTCGCGCGTGCTTGGCCAACTTGATGATTACTCAAAGAAATGAGGCGCTGCTGCAGCTTCGAACGCCAACTGCACGAGTGGATTCACGTGAGGGCTCCACATTGGAACAATAAAAACTGCATAAACATAAACTTCTGGAGGTCCGCACGGACTTCGTGGATCTGCGCTGGACCCCCCCCCCCCCCTCCTGGCGTCAGAGCGCTACGGGGGCGGCGCCTGCGCACGGCCGCCAGGGGGCACAGGGCAAATCCAAAAACTCCGCGCGGATCTCCAACAACTGTTGCTTACGTAGTTCTGTATTTTTCGACACATGGCCATCGTGAGGTTGCCCACCCGTCAACTCCCCCTTGAAATTCAAGCGAATGATCTACGGATTATTCCTGTTGCGTCGAGCGTCGCCGCCGCGTCGACGCGGCGCGACTCTACGGTGAGGTTTTCACCCGGGACGCCAATCCAGAGCGAACACAGAGGAGGCCTTCGGAGGTCCCGGAGATTTTCAACAAGGACACAGGCTTTGAGAAAGTCGCGATTCTCGAACGTCGAACCTCACCACTCCCAAACCTCCGATATATTCAGGTACGTGGGCCTTGGCTGGAAACAAAGTGCACATTATTTGTTGAACGTCGGCTCACTCTCACAAATCTATCCCGAAGGCTGACCACTGTACTGTGCGGGGTGGCGATTGCAGACATCACATCATTGTCGTATTCTGCCCGCGAAGAAGGAGGATAAAGGCGGGTGGACAAGGGGGACCAACGGACCAACGAAGGCCTCAACAGGACACGCGGAATGCCCATAAGCCCCTGATACAAGCCCAATGCTACTATTCCTAGAAAGCCAGCAAGCTGGAAACACTGGGTTCACATGTGGGGCATCAGAAGCCACCCGCTGTTTACACACGCGGAAGCCGCGCGTACCTGGCCATAGTAGAAGAGCCGAGCGCTGAAAAGACATACGGCCACATGTGTATCCGGATCTCGCCAAGCCAGCCGCATCATGTGTATCTGCTTTTCCCGTAGAGCTTCCCCCCAAAACAGAAGATCTCAAGAGGGCCCCCAGGATGCCCGAAGAGAGTCCGCGCGGACCCTCCCGGGGCCCCCGCGGCCCGATTCGGCAGTGAGAGCAAGCAGATGTCCGACCATGCCCTTGCGATACGCACCACTGTGGGGAATGAGGCCGAAGGAGGAGGAGGAGGAGGACCTCTCCGCTTCTCTTCCTCCTCCGGGTGGAACTGTGACCGAGGGTGACCGAGGCGCCTACGAAAGAATGTCGCCTGCTTTCATGCACTGGCCCAATCCCTGTTCCCATTTTCTGCGCACGATTTCCTGCGCAGGCGGGCACGTGCCAAGCCGCTACGGAATGAACGCAAAGAAGCTTCACAAAGGGTGCCAAGGTGTCTTCCGAAGCCGATTCGTCAGGGCGGACTGGTCCGATTGTGGGATGGGCCCCGACAGACTGGCAGGGAAAGGATCGGCATTCAGTTGCGCACGCTGCTTTTCAGGATGAAGCTGACCATGGATATCGCCAGGGCGATGAGAAGACTGGCGATGGCGATGGCGACGGCGACACCTGGCGACAAGAGCAGCGGCAACGGCGGCGACGGCGACGCCGACGACGACGACAAGCGGCGGAGACGCGCGGCTGCCGCGACGCGCGACGGCGGCGACGCGCGACGGCGGCATGAGAGACGGCCCCCGCGGCGACGACGTGGCGATTGTGACGACCTACCAGACCACCCCAACCCAACCCGAAGACCCGAACTTCGGGTTTGGGGGGGGTAAGGGTTCCATACGTGTTGTTTCGATGTTTCCCGACCCCCCCCCACTGGACATCGAGGGTAACTCTGAGCCTTCGGGTTGGGTTGGGGTGGTTTGGTGGCTGGTGAGACTGCAGCGGCGGCGACGGCAGCGGCGTGAGGGCGACGGCGGCGGCCGCCAGGGAAGCGCCGCGCCTGGCGGCGCTGTCCAGCGAGAAGGTGGGCTGGCCCGGCCCGCGGGGGCCGTGCCCGCGCCAGCCCTGCGGCCCGTCCGCGCCGTCGAGCCTCGGGGAGGGGGGGGGAAGGGGGGCCCCCGCGGGGCAAGGACGGCCCCAGAAGGGCGAAGCAGGTCCCAGAAGGTCGCTCTCGCAATCTCTCCCCCCGACCCTTCCCAGGGGGCCACGCTGGCAGGTCCACCCTCCCAGAACGAGTGTTCGGCTGCCCCGGGGCCCCCACAGACCGCCCCCAGATGCCAGGAGCTGCCAACGACAGCTTGGCCGAGTTTTGTGGAACCTCCTCCTCTCCCTCCTCGTCCATTCCTTGATCCGTATAGATAACTCCTCCTTGCCGCACCCCCAGATGTGTCGGCAGGGCCGGGGAGGCGATTCGCCTGAGACGTCCGCACCAATACTTACCCTGAGGCTGGCAATATGCTTCAGTTGCACTGGTGCAGGGGGGGTTTCAACCATTCGCGCCGCGCACACACTCCATCCAAAAACGATATGGCTTCAAGGATTGGGGGGGGGTCAAAATGGGTTCTGTCCTTGTCATCGCGCACATTCGTCTTCGAAAGTCCAACAGCGTCGAATATGTGGCTCTCGCCTTAGCGCCGTGCACATGGGCCTCACACGCTTGCAACAATTGCAAAGATGGAGGGGTGTCAAAACGGAGCTCTTGCTTCAGCGCCGCGCAAATTCGTCTTCAACGTGAGTAGCAGGTTGATGGATGGAGGCGGGTTTGTTTTCATCCCGCTGGAGCGCCGCGCACATGTCGTGCAGTAAAAGGTGCAGCCGCTTCAGGGATGGAGGGCAGTTCCTTGTCAAACTAGCGCCGTCCGCATTCGTCTCCGCAATGTTCAACAGCTTGAAGGGTAATGGGTTTTCCAGACTCAAAGCTGGGTTTTCGCCCAAGACCCCTTCGCATTGTGAAAAAAACCTGAACTGTGTAGCAGCTGCACAGGTTGAAGGCGGCTCCTTTTCGAAATGGCCCCCTCGCTTGAGACTTCCTCGAAGCCCACGACTACAACTGTACGCTTGTGCAGAAATTACATCGATGGGGGACGGGGATATCGCCCGATACATCGCTGAACTGTATGATCATACCCCCTCGCGCTCCTGATATCCATTCGCTACGAGGATCGAGACCATTTCCTTTTCAAAACGGGGCTCTCGCTTGAATTGCTCATCGGGTGCAAGTCTATCAACGGGGGCACCTGTGACAATGAAAAGGAAGACCTGTGGGGAAGAATGAGGAGGGGGCTTGGGACGAGAGGGTGTATTGTAGCATCGCAGATGCATCTTAGGTTTCCGCTGCTCCTCCTCCTCCCCCTCCGCCTCCTCCTCCTCCTCCGCACCTCTTCCTCCCCCTCCTCCTCCTCCTCCTCCTCCTCATCCTCCTCATCCTCCTTATCCTCCCTTTCTCCCCCCTCGATCGGGTGGACAACAGCGGGTGACTGGCAACGGCAGGGATGAGACATCTGCTGCATGCAGCTGGCTTCGATCCCGCCGCCAGGCGCATGGCTCTTTCTACATTGAGCGCGATTCTGTATTCCCCCCAACCCTCCTGCGCTGGGTTCTCGTTTTGAATCATAAGGGCACTGCGGTATCCATCCTTCTCCTCCTCCTTCCTCCCTTCTCCCCGCCTCCTTGGGGGGCTGCGATCTGCGAAACTGCCGCCACTTTCGAAGGCTGCTGGGGGGCAACATAGTGGGCACCCGCCGGGGATTCAGACTAGACCTCGCAGTCCCTGAGGGGCTGCGATCTGCGAAACTGTTGCCACTTTCGAGGGCTGCTGTGGGGCCAGCATTGTGGGCACTCGCCGCAGATTCAGATTTTAGACCTCGCCATCCCTGGGGGGCTGCGATCTGTGAAACTGTCGCCACGTTCGAGGGCTGATAGTGGGACGGGCCAGCACACTGGACACTCGCCGCAGATTCAGACTAGACCTCGCCATCCCTGGGGGGCTGCGATCTGCGAAACTGTCGCCACGTTCGAAGGCTGCTGGGGGGGCCAGCACAGTGGGCACCCGCCGCGAATTCAGATTAGACCTCGCCATCCCTGGGGGTCTACGATCTGCGAAACTGTCGCCATTATCCAGGGCTGCTGGGGGGGGCCAGCATAGTGGGTACCAGCCGCAGACTCAGATTCCTGAGGGGCTGCGATCTGCGAAACTGTCGCCACTTTCGAGGGCTGCTGGGGGGCCAGCATAGTGGGCACCCGCCGCGGATTCAGATTGGACCTCGCCATCCCTGGGGGGCTCTGATCCGTAAAACTGTCGCCACTTTCGAACCCTGCTGAGGGGGGGCAGCATAGGCCAACGCTGCATGTTTAGCCAGCTACTGAAAACAGCAGTACTCTTCCGTTCCCTCCCTCCAATTTCATCGTCAACCTGTTCCCCCCGTCACCCTCTCCATGGCGCTGCTGCCGCGATGGCTCCCCGCCCTCACAATTCCGTCATTATCCTGCCTGTCGTTCCCGCCCTTTCTTATTCAAGCCTGGGCCCAAACCCTGTCGATCGCTGTCCTGTGAGCCGAGCAACGCGCGCGCATGCCATGTAGCTTGCGCAAACTAACACTGCGCCTGCACTGTCGTCGTTCCTGCCAATATTGTCCGACGTCTCTTTCCACTCGATGCACATGGGTTGGGTACGTCGCATGATAGTTTTCGGCGATAGTGGGCGTTCTAGGGGAGGAGTGGGGGGGCGGAAGGGGTTTAACGTAACGCCCCCCCCTGCCGTGTCTCCGGCACCACATGTTTTAAAATGTTCCGGGATAGCGGCCGTCAACGGCCCCGCCCTCCTCCCCAAATGACGTCACGTTCCGCGCCGGCGGCGTCCAGGAATGCCTAGGGATGACCAGGGCCAACTAGGAGCAGCATGTAGGTGGCGATCTGCCCCACAGTGCCAGTGTGTGCTACAGTGCCTGCAGGCACCACAACGCTCACGTGCACCAGGGCGCGCGTGTACACCACAGCGCCTGCGTACACGGCAACTGCCGTGTGCAATGCAACGCCTGTGTACACCACAGTGCATGCGTGCACCACAACGCCGTTGTACACCACAGCGGATGTGCACACCGCAGCAACCATGTGCAACACAGTGCCTGTGTACACCACAATGCTTGCGCGCACCGCAACGCCTGTGCACACCCCAGCGCCTGTCTACAGCAGAGCATCCTGGTACAACGAAGCGCTGGTGTACACCACAGCGCCTGCGTGCGAAGGACAAGTAGAAGGAGCACGTAAATGAGGATCTACTGCGGACAGTTAAAAACCACGCCAGGGAAGTGTTGATAATTGATTGGGACGTTCTTCCCTCCTCCCTCCACCTGCACCTCCACCTCCACCTCCACCTCGTCCTCCTCCTCCCCCTCCTCCTTTCCTCCTCCCTCCTCCTCCTCCTCCTCCTCCTCCTCCTCCTCCTCCTCCTCCTGCTCCTCCTCCTCCTCCTTCTCCTCCTCCCTCACCTTTGCCCCCTGTCGTGCTGGTCGGCGCTACAGCGAACGTGCACATCCCAACGCGCACCGCAGAATGGTCTATTGAATCAGCCCACTTGGTTCTCGGATGGCCAATTTTGCTGGAGCTTCCTGAGCGCACATGGATGGAGTTCGGATGATGCGTGAGGACTCGTAGATTCCAGCGACGCTTTTTTTCCATGAGCATCCCTTTCCAAATCCTGTATAAAACATGTGTTTTCTGTGGACTCTAAGCATTCTATTTTGTTATCAAGATACTTTCTAAAATTCTATATGCACGAGCTGTGCTCTGTTGCACACGGTTGTTGTGGTGCACACAGACGCCGTGGTGTACACAGGCGCCGTAGTGCACGCGGGCATGGTGGTGTACACTGGTGCTGTGTTGCGCACGGCTGATGCGGTGTACGCAGGCGCTGTGGTGTACACGAGCGTTGTGGTGCCTGCAGGCACTGTAGCACGCACTGGCGCTGTGTTGCACGCGGCTGCTGTGGTGCACGTAGGCTGTGTGGTGTCACAGGCGTTGTGGTGCACGCAGGCACTGTGGTGTACACAAGCGCTGTGGTGCGGATCGCCACCTACATGCTGCTGATACCCGTCCTCGGTCATTCCTACGCATTCCCAAACGCCGCCAGCGCGAAACATGACGTCCTCGGCCCCGTCCCCCCCCCCAAATGACGGCCGTCATCGGCCTGGGGGGGAAACAAAAAAAAAAAAAAAACGGCTCCAATCGCGTCCGAGCGCACGATGACGATGAGCGACGAGCGACGAGCGACGAGCGACGACGACGACGACGACGACAACGACGACGACGACGACGACGATGACGACTGCGGACCAGACCCCTATGCGGATTCCTATCCAGATGCCTATGTGGATCCCGATGCGCACGGCGGCAGTGCCCGGGGCGCACTGGGGGGGGGGGGGACGTCACGTTAAATGGTGGGGCGGGGGCTATAATGCCCGCTATGCCCAAAGCAATCAAGAAACACGCTCATTGGAGCCTCAGACGCCAAGAGGAGAAAACCAGCGCCATGAGCTGATTCGCGAACTCCCCCTTCTCTCGCGAAACCAAACGGTGCCGATGCCGCTACTCCGCGGCCCTCTCCAGGGGTGCGGTCTTACTAAGTTGTCAAGGCGACCTTCCAGGAGGCCCGGAAAGGTGAAAACGAGGGAGGGGTAGCGGTACTGGCCCCCCAGGGGTCCCGACCTCTTCCCTTGGGGCAACTTTTCATTCTGAATCAGTTTTTGATGGTCCTGGGGCCCGAATACGGCCCTCGAGGGTCGCAATCGAAGACAGACTGCGGGATGAAAAACTCAACGCCTCGTCGGAGGTGCGGGCCTCTCGTCCGAGCGCGGGCGCGCAAGCTCTCCGAATCCGCGGCCTCGCGGGCCAGGCCCCCGGGCCGCGACGCCGCGGACACGGAGCGCTTTTGCTCGCGCATGCCCCGCGCGGAACGCGCCCTCTGCGACCGCATGCCCGCGTGATCTCGCTCCGGGCTCCGAGCCGTGAGGGCGCGGACGCGGATGCCGTCTTGGCATGGAAGGAAGCGGGTCCCGAGGGAGACGGGCCCCGGACCCCGGGGCCTTTCCCGAGGACCAGCTCTTCACCCTGAGCTGTTTTCTTGAAGGCGCCCAGGGACACACACAAACAAATCGACACGAATCCCAGGATTCCCCATACATGTGAGACACACATGCATCATATGCATTATGGAGTTTCGTTGTCCCTTCCACTTCCCATATGCTCCCACACATTCACTGAAATCGATAAGTATTTGTGCCTGTGTCGTTTCCCTCCCAATTAACCGAGACCTGTCCCCACCGGCGTGGCCTGGGCTCTACTGGCCGACTTACCCGCCCTATATACACACATCTGTATGTGTATATATATCTATAGATATATTAAAAAGTGAATAAATAAATATATGTGTGCTGTCCCCGGCGGGTTTCGCACGGCATATCCCCAAGTGGGGTGGTGGGATGGTGGGGATCGGGATGGCCATGGGGACAATGGTCGGTTTACTTCGCCGAGCGCGTTCCACTACTCGCAGAGTGCATACTCGCAAACGCCCGAGAAACACCTGCCTGCTTTGATATATGACTTATCGTAGATCCCCCGCGAGGGATCCAGGCCATTTGCAAGTAGTCACGCTGCGAGTAGTGGAACGCGCTCGTCGATTACTGGCTTTCCTTCATGGCGACGGGCATGGGGATAATGTCAAGGGGCCCAAGGACACACAACTAAATACACACAATTAACACGACTCCCCATATTTTCCATGTCCTCTGGGTTCCCGTCTCCCCCCCTTCCCATATTTCCCTACATTTTCTTGGGAGTCGACGATTCATTGTGTCTGTGTGCTTTTTTCGGGTCGGGCGAAACGGGGGGATAGCAAAGGGGGGGTTTGAGAATCAGCTCACGTAGCTGCTTTTCCCGGCGCCTCCCGGCGCCAGAGGCGGCTATGTATCGAGGAGTGGGCCCGGCGGCGGGGCCGAAACCAGCTGCATGCAGCAGATTTCGTACCCCCCCTTTCCCTAACCCCCCCCTTTCGTCCGGCCCGATTTTCCCCATCCTGAGAATGGCCGCTTTCCTCCCTGGCGACGCTCGCCGCTCGTGCTCCCACGCCGGGCGGCGCCTCGCCGACGCCTCGCAGCCCGCGGCCCCGCGGCGCGAGGAGCGCCACCGCCCTCCGGCGCAGGCCGCCAGCACCGCCGGGGCCGCGAGCGCGCGCGCGCCGGCCGCGGCCATCGCCGGCCGGGCGCGCGGCGGCCCCCCGGGGGCCCACCTGCAGGAGGACGCCACTCAAGGCATTGTATACCAAGCTTGTCTGGTCGCGATCTCCGCCACGAGTATCTATCGATATATATATATATATATATACACCTATACATATATATATATATATATATATACACACGTGTACACAGACACCCTCCGCCGAATATATGTATACATATATATATATATACGCATATACCTATGTATATATATATATATATATATTTGAAGACACCATCCGCCGAACTTTGTATGTACCTTCAGGGGAAGTCGCTGTAGAAAGTCGCTGGCTCTCAGTGGTCATCTATACAACGCCACCGTCCCCTGCGGCCCAGGAACACTCCATTGGAGGGTGTCTGTGTTTTCTTCTGTGGCGGACGATCAGAAGAGACGATCGGCACTCCAAATCAGCCGCGACCGATGGCGACAGGTCGGTCGCGACCGATTGTGAAGCAAATCGATCGCAACCGACCCCACAGACCGATCTCGTCGGTCGCGACTGGAAAATGCCAGCATCCAATGATCAGGGCAATCTTGGCCCAGGCATCGAGGCTAGTTGGGGGGCGGAGAGATACGGATACGTGTTGTCCCCGGACCTCTCTTGGGGTGCGTTCTGACCAGAATTTCGAGGCGAATCCAGCGGTGACAACGAGGATTCCCCAGGAGGACCAGGAAAGGCCGAAAACGACGGGGGACAACACGTATCCGTATCTTTTTCTCCCCCGAGCTAGAGGTTCGAGGTTCGACGTTCTCGAGCAGCTTCGCGGGTTCTCGGCGGTTCTCCAGCCTCGGAACGCTCTCGAGGAGCTGCGCCTCGCCGCGGCGGCGCTCTGGGGCAATCCTGGCCCAGGCATCGAGGCTAGAGGTTCGACGTTTTCGAGCAGTTTCGCGGGTTCTCGGCGGTCCTCCAGCCTCGGAACGCCCTCGAGGCGCTGCGCCTCGCCGTGGGCGTCCTGGGGCTATGTACCCCCGGATCGTCCCGAACACGGCCGCCGGAGAGCCGACCTCTGGCCCGAGAGCACGAGCCTGCCCGCGTCGTGCACACAAATGCTCGGACCGTCTTTTCGTCCCGGGGGCGCTCGCCGGGCCCCGGGCCCGTGAGCAAGCTACCCCGGAGGAGGAGGAGGAGAGGAGGAGGAGGGAGGAGAGAGGAAAGAGGACGAGGAGGAGGAGGAGGAGGGGGGGGAGGAGCAGGAGGAGGAAGAGCAGGAGGAGGAGGGGGAGCAGGAGGAGGAGGAGGAGGAGGAGCAGGAGGAGCAGGAGGGGGAGGAGGAGGAGGAGAAGGAACAGGAGGAGGAGGAGGAGGGGGAGGGGGATGAGAAACCGGCCCTGGGTCGGGGATCCACTGGCCCGGGTAGATCCAAACCCCGGGCCAGTCGGGCTCTGGGAGATCCTGCAGGATCCTGCGCGCAAGCCCGGGTCGATGAACCCCTATGGCTCTGCAAGCTCCTGCAGGATCTGGCGCTCTGGCTGATCCCCATTTGCATTGACCCCCGTCTCTTGAGCCCCACGCAATGAAAAGTCGAGGCAGTGGATGCATCAAGCTACATCTACACTGATCCTGGCCAGGCCCAGGTTGAGTGTATGCGCCCTTGTGGTCTGGGCAAGAAGACACATGTACCGATCCTTGGCCCAGGATCGAGCTGGCCAGGATCCGTGCAGGTGTATACGGCCAGACCTAGGGCAAAATACTACTCTTCAAGAACATGAGACCCTCCGCCAGCCAAAACATACAGAACGTCTAATGGTACCCTCCCCCAGGATGCACAAGAACCTCCAACAAGCACGAAAAACGTGAGGGCACCCTCTCCGAACCGATCTCGATCTCATGCCTCGAACTGACCGTATACGCCTTCATGGTCTGGGCAAGAAGGCAGACGTACTGATCCTGTTAACCCAGCTGTCCAGGAACGGTGTAGGTGTCTAGTTGGCGCCCTCCGACACCCAGCACCCAGGGCGGATCGAAGGGCAAAATTATGGAGGCAACTCCGGGAAGGTCTTCGTAAGAACGATGGGGGGCTACTGAGTCCGATCATGAGGCCACTCGGCCGGAATATGCCAGAATAGGCCCAAGACTAACCAGATTAAGCCAAATGAACAAGGATTGCTAAGCGGAGCTCAGCGGAATTACCCCGGACTGTGCTGGCATAGGCCTGCTTGCGACAACGGGTATATACTGAATTCGACCTCCCCAGAGCTGCGTCGTCAGCAGAGTGCTGGAGCCAGAGACGGCGAGGCGCCGAAGCCTGGTCCAGGACGAGAGCGGGGGGCGCCGCGCTTGTGCACTCGAAGCTCGTAAAACGGACGGGGGGCAAAGGGTACGGGAGAACGACATGGAGGCGGATGGGGAGGAGGACGGGGTGCGTGGGGGGGGCGGCGAAGGGAAGCGAGGACGACCAGGCGAGGAAGACGAGCACATGGACGAGGAAGAAAAGGACGAGGAGAACGAGAACGAGAAGGAGAAGGATCAGGGCGACAAGGAAACACAGGCGGCGAGGCGCAGAAGTCTGACGCTCCCCACCCTCAAGAGGTGCCACAAGAGCTGCGAAGGATGACGACTTCGTGACCAGCAGGGCAACTTCGCAGCTCGGCAGAGCAGTTCTTACTGTGAGCAACAACGCAGCACCCTCAGAAACTCTGCCAGCTGGCAGTCACGAGCTCCACCAGCCTTCTGGGCGTGAATGGTCTAGCGGGCTTCTTCTGCTAACCCGATTCTTCCCCTTCGGGGAGGTTTTTTCCCCTCCCCCTACCTCCTCCCCCTGGGCCTGGAGGGGCGTTCCGCGAGGGGCTGGACCTTTCCCCCTCACCCTCCACCCCTCCGCCTCTGCGCCCCCTGCCCCGCCCTCCCCCCCACCCCCATCCAAAATGTGATTGCCCAACTCTGGCGCCGAACGGCCGTCGATGCAACATCGAAAGATGTCTGGCGCCACAGAATTTGGAATATTTCTTTACCATATCGGCGGGCGTTCGGCCCCAGAGAATCGGAAAAGTTGGGGACATGCGCATTTACAACGCTTCCCGCCTGCCAGGCGATGAGGGTTCAGCGTGCCATTGCTACAGCTCCCCGAACATGTTCATTACGTGAAATCGGGAAAATCTAGCAGCTGCAATGAGAGTCTGCCTATGCTCATGGAGGCGCGCAGAATCTTGCCTATCTGAAATGAAACGTGATTATCGTGTCGCGCACGTATCCCTCTAAGCTGCGGGGAGACGCCTTTCGCGGACGATATGTGTGATGGTCTCTGCTTGCGTCGCGGCCGTACCGTGTGTGCAGCGGGGAAAAGCATTGCGCATCCGATCTGACTGTTACGGCCGACTTGTTTGAAGAAATACTTGCCTCAGTCGGTTCGCACGCGCCTCGCCCACCTCTTTCGGGGTCCGATGCCTAAGAGAATGCAGCGATAGGCAAACATCTACTGAATTAGGTATTGGCATATGCGTTTATATGCAACTACCTAGAAACATACCATGTATACATATAAGAAGCAGACAGAGGGAGGCAGCGATCTATTCATGTATATGCATTTAGAGGGAGAGTAGGCAAAGAGAAAGAGAGACAGGGAGCGAGAGAGAAAACCAAAACAAGAAAGACCATTACGCTACCGAGTAACCCCACATACCTATTTGATGTGCTGTATGACTCATTGAGATTACTAGTAGTAGTAGTAGTAGTACTACTACTACTACTACTACTACTACTGGTACTACTACTATCACTACTACTACTACTACTACTACTACTACTACGAATACTACTACTACTACTACTACTACTACTACTACGACGACGACGACGACGACGACGACGACGACTACTACTACTACTACGACTACGACTACGACTACGACTACGACTACGACTACGACTACTACTACTACTACTACTACTACTACAACTACAACTACTACTACTACTACTACTACTACTACGACTACGACTACGACTACTACTACTACTACTACTACTACTACTACTATTACTACGACTACTATTACTACGACTACGACTACTACTACTACACTACTACGACTACTACTACTACTACTACTACTACTACTACTACTACTACTACTACTACTACTACTACTGCTACAACGACGACAACGAACACGACTACTACCACCACTACTACGACTACTACTACTACTACTACTACTACTACTACTACTACTACTACTACGACTACTACTACTACTACTACTACTACTACTACTACTACTACCAATACTACTACCATTACTACTACTACGGCTACTACAACTACTACTACTTCTACCACCACTACTACTACTACTACGACTACTACTACTACTACTACTACTACTACTACTACGACTACTACTACTACTACTACTACTACTACTACTACTCCTGCTACTACTACTAATAATAAAAAGCCTACCACTACTTTTACTACCAATACTACTACGACCGCTACTACTACTACTACTACTACTACTACTACTACTACTACTACTACTACTACTACTTCTACTACTACTACTACTGCTGCTACTACTACTACTACCACTAATACTACGACTATTACTATTACTACTACTACTACTACTGCTACTACTATTACAACGACTACGACTACGGCTACTACTACTCCTACTACTACTTCTACGACTACTACTACCACTACTACTACGACTACTACTACCACTACTACTACGACTACTACTGTTTGTACAACGAGTACTACCAATACTACTACATCTACGATTCCTACTACTGAAGCAGCGATTACTACTACTACGACTACTACTAATACGACTACTATTACTACTACTACCACTACTACTACCACTACTACGACATCTACTACGACTACTACTACAACTACAGCCACTACTCCTACTACTACTACTACTACTACTACCACTACTACTACTACTACTACTACTACTACTACTGCTGCTGCTGCTGCTGCTGCTGCTGCTGCTGCTTCGATGCGACTACAACA